GGGTGCTTTTTTCCATGCCGTCTCATGCCCGGAAATGGTCAAGAATCTACAAACAGGTAATCTTGGCAAAGTTTGTTTGGCTGATGATCAAGTGCTTGATATTACAGGTATTGGAGACGTAGATTTGAAGACCTCCATAGGAACCACCTGGACATTGAAAGATGTTAGGGTTATCCCAAACTTAAGGAGAAAGTTGATTTCAGTTGGTAAGTTGGATGATGAAGGGCTTAATGTTCATTTTGGGGGTGGACAATGGAAAGTGATCAAAGGCAACCTAGTGATTGCTAAAGGAAAAAAGAAAGGCACTCTATACATGGTAGAGATACCTGGTGATGGTGTTCATGCTATAACCACCAATCTAAGTCCATCTAATTTATGGCACCAACGACTCGGACACATGAGCGATAAGGGATTAAAGATGTTGGCTCAGAAAGGGAAGTTTCTAGACTTGAAGAAAGTTGAAACTGAATTTTGTGAATCTTGTGTTCTCGGGCAGAAGCGGGTTGTTTTTGTAAAGACGGGGAAAACACCGAAAGCTCAAAAGTTGGAGCTTATTCACTCAGATGTAGTCGGACCAACACGAGTTTCATCGTTAGGAGGTAAAAACTACTATGTAACCTTTATTGATGATTCAACACGCAAGGTATGGGTCTATTTTCTTAAAAATAAATTTGATGTATTTGATACTTGTAAGATATGGAAATTTGCTGTTGAAAATGAAACTAATTTGAAGGTGAAGTGTTTGAAGTCAGATAATGGTCGTGAATACATAAGCAAGGAGTTTGTTGACTATTGTGCCAAGCAAGGGATAAAGATGATCAATACGGTCCCAGGAACTCCTCAACAGAACGGGTAGCTGAGAGAATGAATAGAACTCTAAATGAAAGGGCTAGAAGCATGAGGTTGAATGCTGGTATACCCAAGACATTCTGGGCCGATGCAGTTAACACTGCAGCCTACTTGATCAACCGTTCACCGTGTGTTCCCTTGGATTTTAAATTACCAGAAGAAATGTGGCAAGGGAAGGAAGTAAGTCTCAAACATATGAAAGTTTTTGGTTGTAGTGCTTACAGTTTGTTAAAAGATAGTGACAGGGATAAACTTGATTCAAAGACCAAGAAGTGTACATTCATTGGTTACGGGTCAGACAAAATGGGTTACAGACTTTGGGATAGTGAAACCAGAAAGTTAATCCGAAGCAAAAACATCACCTTTAATGAAACGGAGTTATACAAAGACAGAAACAACAAAAATACAGAAGTTAAGAAGGAATATGTTGAGTTTGAAGGTGATGAAAAGAAGAAAGAAGCTTCAGTCGAAATCCCTAATTTTGGGGATGATTCAACTAATAGTAGGAGCTCAGGGGATAATTCAAGTAATGACTCTGAAAATGAAGAAACCAGTCCTCCAACTCCAGAATCCCCAGTCACACCTCAAGATCAACCAAGAAGGTCTTCCAGAGTCACCAGACCACCAGAAAGATACTCACCATCTGTCAACTACATTCTCTTGACAGAAAATGGTGAACCCGAGTGTTACTCTGAAGCTATGGGTTTGAAAGACTCATTGCAGTGGGAGCTTGCAATGAAAGATGAAATGAAGTCGCTCGAGAAGAACAAGACATGGCTTCTAACAAAGCTTCCATCTGGGAAGAAGGCTCTTCAGAATAAATGGGTTTTCAGGGTCAAGGATGAACATGATGGTACTAAATGGTACAAAGCCAGATTAGTAGTCAAGGGGTTTCAACAGAAAGAGGGAATTGATTTCAATGAAATTTTCTCTCCAGTGGTGAAGATGACTACCATCCGGCTTGTTCTCAGTATTGTAGCATTAGAAGGGTTGCATCTAGAGCAGTTAGATGTCAAGACAGCTTTTCTACATGGTGACCTAGATGAAGACATTTACATGACACAACCAGAGGGTTTTAAGGCTAAAGGCAAAGAAAACTTGGTGTGTAAACTGAAGAAGAGTTTGTATGGTCTGAAACAAGCACCCAGACAATGGTACTTAAAGTTTGATAACTTTATGGGTAGAATTGGTTACAAGAGATGTGACAATGACCATTGTTGTTACATCAAGAAGTTTAAGGGTTCTTATATCATTCTACTACTCTATGTAGATGATATGTTGATTGTCGGCTCAGACTTGTCAGAGATCAAGAAGTTAAAGAGGCAAATGTCTAAAGAGTTCGAAATGAAAGACTTAGGAGCTGCAAACCAAATACTTCGGATGAGTATTTCTAGAAACAAAGATGGTTCTTTGACACTATCTCAAGAGAAATACATTAGGAAAGTGTTAAAGAAATTCAGCCTTCAAGGTGCCAAGATCCGAAGCACACCTTTGGGAAGCCACTTTAAGCTTTCTAAAGCTCAATCACCAAAATCAGATGAAGACAAGAAGGAAATGGCTAAAATTCCTTATGCATCTGCAATTGGTAGCCTCATGTATGCAATGGTATGCACGAGACCATACATAACTCATGATGTGGGGGTTGTTAGTCGTTTTATGTCAAATCCAGAAAGAGAACATTGGGAAGCAGTTAAATGACTGTTAAGATACTTGAAGGGAACTTCAAAGATGGCATTGCGTTTTGAGGGGAAAGATGTCATTCTAAGGGGTTATGCAGATGCAGACCTTGGTGGTTGTAAAGATTCATACAAAACACCACAGGGTATGTCTTTACAGTTGGGAGGCACTGCAGTGAGTTGGATGTCTAAACTCCAAAATAGTGTTGCTCTTTCAACCACAGAAGCAGAGTATATGGCAGTTGCTGAAGCAAGCAAAGAGCTTATATGGTTGAAGAACTTTCTCGAAGAACTTAGCAAGGAACAAGTTGATTGTGCACTGTTTTGTGATAATCAAAGTGCAATAAACCTTGCAAAGAATCCCGACTTCCATTCGAAGCCAAAGCACATACAACTGAGATATCACTTCATCAGAGAAAGAATTAATGATGGCACTCTAAAATTGAAAAAGATCAAAGGAACTGAAAATCCAGCTGATATGTTGACTAAGGTTGTTACCTTAGAGAAGTTGAAGCTTTCATAACTTCAACTGGTCTTCAGGTTAATTGAAGAGAAGGCCAGGGTAACTAGGAATGAGCTAAGATCAAAAGTGTTTACAAAATACAGATACGGAGTTGAAGCACTGGTGAAGATTGTTCTGTGGCTTCAAGTGGGAGATTGTTGTGTGTGAAGCCATTTATTGGGTTGGTCAAGAATAAAGATAGTGCCAGAAAACAGGTAGCCATAATTTAAGGGCCATATCTGTTTTTTGTGTTTGGTGAACAACCGTATTGATGACATGCTTTATGGTCCCCTTATCTTTTTGTTTTGACCAGTTATCATTTCAATCTCTCTATATATACGAGACTACTTTCTATTTGTAAAGTGTAGACACAAAAAGAAATAAAACTCCTAGTTACCTGTGTGTGGATGTAGGTCATCAGACTGAACCACCTTAAATCCTTGAGTTCTTGGTTGTTACAACTTAGTAGAGTAATGTTCGTGTGTTAACTGTCTGACCATAACAATTATGGTGGGGATAAGCTAAAGAAGCTAATTTTGAAAAGCTTCCCCCCTTGCTTAAAGCTTATTGCTTATTGCTTATAACCTATTTCTAGTCATTTTACTCATATAAGTTGTTTTGTTTGCCAAACACTTAAATGTTTATCACCTTATTGCTTATCCCACCACTATAAGCTAATCCAAACACTTTTGCAAAAGCTGCTTTCTCACACTGCTATAAGCTAATAAACTATAAACTAATTTATCCAAACACCCTCTAAGATTGGGTTCCCTAGGTTTTATCCAGATCTAATTTTACTATTATTTGATTTTTTATCGTGGGGTAGCTTTAAAAGTTCCAATAAAGTCGATGGTAGTGGTGATTGTTAGGATTTGATTGTTTTGAGATTTGTATCATCATTTGTTATGGGTTACGATAGATTTTAAAGCTTCAAAATTCTTTAATATTTTTCAATGGTATATTTTGAAAGTTTTAAAATCTAGGATTTGTTACCCCTCTTTTGTAATAATAAATATGGTCTTGCTTGCTTACACGAGCTGTTGCATTCTTGAAGGAAATTAAGGATATGCAATTGCATATTTGCTTGTGACGGGTTTTGAATTATGCATTACTCTTTGTTAATGGACTCCAAATGGCCATTCAACATCTTTCTTTGTCACTTCTTGTGCCACCTTGAAGGTTAATAGGTTAATGACACCTTCACAAAGTGTAAGTACATTCTGGTGCGGTTCTGTTAAAACATCTTCAAGTAATCATCCATTGCATCAACAGTGGTACTGTATGCATTAAAACAGATTAAATTCCCGTCAAAGTAGTTGTGGACTAAATTAACATTCGTCTACAGCATCCTGATCTCCGTTGAAGGAGTTGTTCCTTTTCTTGGACACAAACTTTCTATTTCCTCTTCTAAAAGCACCGATGCTGCTTTGAGAAGAAAACGCCATAGCCTAAGGGGGGGGGGGGGGGGTGGGAGGGGGGGGGAGGGGGGAGCTAGGGTGGATTCATACCCGTGAATCCACCATTTCAGCATCACACCACTCGAGTGAGATGTATACCTGATAAGCTTGTGACAATCACGTGGATTAACTCTTGTATTTATCATATGACCTTTTTCAATCTACTTCTACAATATTAGCAAAGGTTACCCACATTAAGAAAAAAACAAGAGTTGGTTGCTACACTGTTTTATTTGCCCTTTGGAAAAAATCGTATTCCCGTAAAGACCATTAAAGAACATGTCATGACAAGCAAAAATACAAGCATCAGTGGGTCCAAAAACTATCCTAGATATTTAATTTGCACAAATATCTAGCAGGGCATTTTTATATCCTCTTTTTTGTTGTGCACCTGCCATGAATCAACATCTATAAAGAGTAGGAAAAACTCTTGAGTTCACATAAGAAGCTTTTTCTTCCTTCTTTCTCTATATCAAAGGGTTGATTACAAGCTGAGCACTTTGCCTAATTAAAACCATGAAGGTTTGGTTCTATAGGACTACATCTATAGAAACTCATAAGCTTAGTATATATTAATTTACATAGTACCTAATTCTACCATGACTCATGCTTTATTGCTTATCCTATTGCAGTTGCTTAAAGTTATGCATGCCAAGTTCGCATGTCAATTTACAGATGGTGAACATATGGAAGACGAATCATCTTCTTCTGTTTCTCAACTATTTAATGGATTCCAGACGATCACAACTCTTGAAAAAGATGTATTCGTCACTGATCTAGCAACACCAAATTTTTCCACATATTTTAAGAGTACATCGAAAAATGAAACCGGGACAACAGAAGATGAAATGAAGAAGATGACGAGGGCTGTAAAGTATGAAAACGAAGCAATCGGTAACGCAACTATACTTATAAAGGACCGTAGAACTTCACTATGGGAGCTGTTTCAGAAAACTAAAACGGTAGAGAAAAAAAACGAACCTGTAATGAAAAAGATACTGAAAAGAAGATTGATTCAGCCTTCTTCTAAGGACTATACAGTGGCTCCTGTAGGAACCATAAATTTAGCTAATTCAGCTGATGAAAAACTCCACAAGGTACGCCTATTTTTTTGTAAATATTCTAGACTTTTAGTTTCCTAATTAGTATTAATGTTTAAGTAATACACGCAGATCCTACGTATACTACAGAGAGTTCACCCCGAAGCCTTAGCTATCTCACAAAAATCTCAAAACCTGTGGAAATATGTGATGAAAAGCAACTGCACAAATGAGGGGTGTAGAAACAAAAATCAAATGCTATCCGAAGATATCATTATATTCCCTTTTAGGGCTATTTCTGAAAAGAGTGAAAACCACACAAAGAGCAACATGTCCAATCATCTCATATATGGTGGGGGTGATACCAACTGGAAAACAGAATGCTGGATCAAATCAGATGCAGAATGTAAGTACACAAAAGTAAACCATGATTATAATTCCCCCTTCATATAAACGTCTATGTGACATTTCTTATAAGTCACTCATTCCAGCTATTTCCTATGTAGATCTGATATTGGAATTGTAGAAGAAGATAAACAATGCGTATGGATGATAAATTGGTCGGAAGCAGATCGAGCAAATCTGCAAATGAGGCCGCATAAATTCATCTATTTGTAAATAGTGTGCCTGTTGAAGTAAAGTAGTAACAATGACAATCACCAAACAACATTCAAACTCATCGTTTTTCCTTTATGTGGAAAAAGATTTTGATTAGAAAGAGAGATTATGAGCTAAACTAAACATGGTTATATAATGGTGGTGATGACTTTTGAGGGTTTACATAGATAGACTGCTCCCGTATTGTGCCATAATGAGATTGTGAGAACCGAGAAGTAGAGGATGAAGATGGCCCATCGTTAGTTATCCAAACTCACATGGCTTGAAAAATTATGTAGTAAATAGTAATTAATATATATAATATATTAATTAGCAATGCTTCCCAACGATTTCTTTAGAACGATAAAAATCTAATCTACTCCAAAGCTACTTGTTAATTCAACCAAGGGACTTGAACCCTCTATAACTGAAGGGAGGGCATCACGGGCGGTTCCACATAGTGTCCCACAGTGACACCGGCAACGCCTGATTTCCGTGTACGCAGTGCAAAAAATTTTGATTTTTTACTACTATTGTGTCAGTACGTAAAAAAAATATGCAACCACATAAAAATAAAAGTGTCACACCTAGTATGAAATCATACGCCTATCTCTGGATGACATCTCACCATACTCTTAGGCCAAAGAACTATCGGCTCTGTGCAGAAGATGAATTTAATTAGAAAGAATTTTAAAGCAACAGACTGCTGCTCATATGCCATCTAAATGTTAGGAATTTTTATGGCCCCTTAGATCAAAATAATACGCAAGATGTTCCACACATGTCCAACTCTTGTGAGACTAAAATATTTGAAAGTTCCACCATCCAAGGCAAAAGAAATATGGTAACTATTTAGGACCTTTAGGATCTAATTATAAAGGTGGTATATTTTGTTCATGTTGACATAAGATCGATCGGAGAGAAATAGAAAAAATGATTGAAAGAGATCTTCTTCTCATTAACTAACAGAACAAGTACACGACTATTACATATATCTACAGAGAATAAAATTACACATGAAAACCTTCTAACTTGTAACAACTAGTAAATAGAAAATGACGAAACTATCCTTGGTAGTTAAAAATGGTTAACTATCATATTAGCTAAGTTGTAATACTAGCTAACAACCCCCGTAAGCTTGGATCCCTCTTAAGAAAACCAAGCTTCAATGTAGCATCAATGTGTTTGTTTCCAGGAAGTAACTTTGTGAGAATGTCAGCTTTTTGATCATTAGTAGATACGTGAGATAAGCTGATAAGGCCAGACTGTACTTTCTCACGAACAAAATGACAATTTATTTCAATGTGCTTAGTCCTTTAATGATAAACAAGATTATAAGAAATGTAGATAACAGCCATATTGTAACACCGTAATTTTTCAAACAATTTTTTTTTTCATTTTAAAATCGCATACTTTTCATAACACATTGTATAGAAATCTCGTTTATTCAAATTACAAAATACAACTCCATTAATAATCCAGGATTCTCAAAACATAAGTCTTTCTCTGGTGTGTACAATCAAGCCGGTGCCTTCCCGCGATCCTCTGAGATACCTGAAACACATAACACATAACACGGTAAGCACAAAGCTTAGTGAGTTCCCCAAAATATCACATACAACCCATAAGCCACTCGAGGCTATAACTCGGTATGACCCTCCGGTCAATGTGTCTCAGCCGGACCCTCCAGTCCCGTAGCTCATTGGACCCTCCAGTCCGGTCTAGCTCGTTGGACCCTCCGGTCCGGTCTATATAACACATAGCATACATATATCACAATGCACATAAACTCCAACATACACATAACACATAAGACCCTCCGGTCTGCACATAGTTACCACTCTAGGTAATGTATAGTGAGAAGACTCACCTCGGCTAACAGGTGAGCAAATAACCCTCGCGCTCGGACTCGAACTAGCTTCCCTCCTAACCAAAGGACGAAAGCTCTTTTATAATACTCTTTTCACGACTCAGATAATCGAAGGCGGTTCTTTCTCTTTCTAACTCTTTAAAGTGGGTAAAAGACCATTTTACCCCTCCAAGGTCTCTATCACACATGTTGACCAAAACCCCAAAGTCAACAGAAGTCAAACTCGAGTCAACAGTCCAAGTTTGACCCGACTCGTCGAGTGCACTCCTACGACTCGCCGAGTCCCCTCGTATCCTCAGAGTCTCAAAAGTCCAGCAACTCGTCGAGTTGACCCCCAACTCGCCGATTATCGCACAATCAAAACCATCAGGACAAATCCTCGTCGACTCGTCGAGTCAGTTCATGGACTCGGCGAGTCCCTTTGATCTGATTTCTCATTCAGACATTTCAACCAATCTATCACTCTAAACTATAGATCTATCACCCAAGGCTCAATAATACGTAAAGCTTCGATCTTTACGTTCATACATGACGCTATTGCTATTGCTTCAAAAAGCCAATACATGCTCTTCATGAAGGTTTTTTTGCTCATCAACCCTCATTTGGACAACTAAGCTGAGACATCTAGACTCTAAGGACCTTAGAGGTCCAGATCTGAGGTTTCCAACCACAACCAGGTCTCATTCGACTTCGTAGATTCAAAAAGATGGAAGCAAAGCCCTAAAACTCCCAAAATGAGATCTAGTACAAGGAATGAACAAGATGAGGACTTTGTACCTTCTCTTAGCAGCTGATGTTGGATTAGTGTCTAAGCCCGTAACTATATTTGGTAAGTACTTGACCCGGTTGTGCATGGTCCTTTTGGGTTGCCTTCACCATAGCAACTTGACAGGTTGATTTATATAGAGAAAGAGATATTATTATATTAATATGTTTTAAGAATAATATATTAAAGGAATAATATTATTTAATTAATATTAGTCATAAATTAATTAGGAATTAATTTGGTGACTAAAAGAGGTTAATTGAATAAAGGGGCTTAAACTGTCAAATGTGTGATAGTTGTGTTTTTGGGCTATGAATCCTTATGGATATAGGGTGCCGAATTTTAGGGTTAGGATTCTTAAATTCGTCCAAGCCTCATATCTAGAAGGATCCTTGGATTGCTTAGGGCCTAAGTTATTCAATTAGGGTTAAGGATGTAACCCTAGTAGCTCATAGTATAAATAGTACCTATGGGTGAGGGAAATCGGCCACTCTTGTAAGATTGAAACCCTAGAGCCGATTTTCTCATCCCTCATCTCTCTCCAAATCATCCTCTTGCTAGTTGGTGTTTGTAAGCCATTAGAGGAGTGACAATTGTGACTCTAAGCTCCAAGAACAAGAAGATTCAAGCAAGCAACCTAAGGTATTCTTCTAGATCTGATTTCATGTGTTATGTTTCAATTGTTATCTCTAGATCTAGCATTGTAAGCCTTGGAAACATTGCATGTTCAATTAGAGAAACCTAGATCCAAGCATTAGGGTTTGCATGTGCACATAGGAAAGTTCTTATGGCTCAAACCCATCAGTGGTATCAGAGCCTTGATTGATTTCTATTGAATTGATGCTTTGGTTGATTGCTTTTTGCATGAAAAAATCATTTTTTGTGCCCCTGACTGATGAACTCGGCGAGTCCCATTGTGGACTCGGTGAGTAGCACCAACTCGGCGAGTTCATAATGGAACTCGGCGAGTTCAAGCGTCAGTTAGAGTAGATTTCGGGATTTCTTGCTGTTTTGCTTGAGGATACTTGCCTTAATTGTTTTGGGTCATTAAAATCCGAATTTTATCATATATTTGAGTATATCCTTGACCAAACAAAAGATAATTACCATTTGATTGAATAATAATTTCCTTATATGATAATAATTGATTATTTGAATTAAATTGGTAAATTGTCTTGCAAGTAATATTGACTAGGTCAAATTTAGATAATCATTAAATTAATTAGTTGATTTATATTATTTGCTATTTGATCCTTTATGTTTTGAAAAGTTCAAAACTTGCCCTCAAGTTTTGAAATTTAAGTTTTGTGATTAAAAGTTTAATTTGAAAATTTAAATTTCAAACCCTAGAATTTTACAAGTTTTAAAATTCAACCCTATACTTATAATATTATAAGATTAATATATATATATGTATAACTTAAATGCTAGTCTTACCATTAGTAGGCCTCATTCACGAAGCCAATCTATAAGGGGGTATAAGGTTATGGCCTATAAAATGGCCGTTTAATGGGTGTCCATTCTCACCCACCGCTTCCTTGATTGGTGGAGGGTCGTTAGCCGAACGGGTAGGATCGGGCAAACCTTTCCTCATTAAAAGTATAATGAATCTATATTAAGTAACTAAATGTTTTTACAAAATTCCCAATCTTAGTTACTTTAGGCAAAAGTGAATTGATGCAATTCCATGAAATTACACTTTGTACCCTTGCTAAGACGTTAATGAAGCGCGTGTGGTTAACCGGCACATTAATTGGGTTCTAAGCAAAGGTGGCAAAGGGTGACTCGTTGTTTGTTATAGTTCAATGGAGCGTGTGTGGTTAACCAGCACATTGAATAGGTAACTGTAACAATGAGGGCACCATGTACATTTGCATGGTTATTCACACCCACTTTGTGATCCTCGGCATCCCAGTCACAAACGAGAGGGGCATATCGAGATTTAAACATGCCATTGAAAAGTTCAATGTATCTCAAAAGATCTAGGAGTTTTCAATACATTTAAAACCTAATTTCTTTTCGTTTTCTTGGTGGAGAATTAGTGAATCGACATTCACTTGCCTTCAAATTATTTACTTATTAGATTACGGCATCCCTCTTCTAATTAGTGAATAATGTTGTTGGTTCCTAGCCCTAATTTTTCATTTGGGTGATTAATTTGGGAAATTCATTTCTAATCAACTTTGTTCTTTTTTTCATTTCAGATGTCGAACGCAAACAACAACGCTTCTGGGTCAAACTCCTCTGGTTCATTCTCACTCATGAACTTGTGTGGGAAAGTGATCTTCGATGG